CTACTTAGCTTAAAGTCAAATACTCGGACTTCTGGTCAAGACAGAGGCATAGGTAGATACATTTTGCCTCCTCGCACAACCAAAAGAAGGGCAACAACAAATTTAAAAACAAAAAATAACCAGAACTGCCAGAAAATTGAACAGCAAACTGTATGGAAGTCTGACGATCAGGGAGCTAAAGAACAAACATTCATCCAGACCAGTAGGAGGGGCAGAGACTGGTAGCCAGGTGGGGCAGACCTGAGCAGGTGGACCCACATTTGCGTGTGGACAGACTGGGAGAAACAACTGGGGAGTGAGACAGGCCATACAACCCAGGGTTCCAGTGCGGGGAAATAAAGGCTCAAAACCGCTGACTGAAAACACCTGTGGGGGTTGTGGTGGTGGGAGAAACTCCCAGCCTCACAGGAGAGTTTGTTGGAGAGACCTACAGGGTCCTAGAATGTACACAAACCCACCCACATGGGAATCAGCACCCGAAGGGCCCAATTTGCTTGTGGGTAGCGGAGGAAGTGACTGGAATCCAGCCCAGAGCTGAGCAAGTGGCATTGTTCCCTCTCAGACTCCTCCCTTCTATACAGCACCATGACACAGCCACTTGGGTTGCCCTGCTCTGGCAAATACTTAAGGCTCCTCCCCTTAATACTAACAGGTGAGCCAAGACAAAGAAAATATGGCTCAAATGAAAGAAAAGATCAAAGGTCCAAAAATAGAACTAAGCAATGAAGTGATAGCCAACCTATGAGATGCAGGGTTCAAAACATTGCTAATCAGGATGCTCACAGAAATGGTTGAGTATGGTTGCAAAATAGAGGCAAAAGTGAAAGCTATGAAAAGTGAAATAAAGGAAAATGTACAGGGAACCAACAATGACAGGAAGGAAACCGGGACTCGAATCAATGATTTCGACCAGAAGGAAGAAGTAAACATTCAACTAGAACAGAATGAGGAAACAAGAACCTCTGGGACAACTTTAAACATTCCAACATCCGAATCGTGGGGGTATCAGAAGGAGAAGAGAAAGAGTAAGAAATTGAAAACTTATTTGAAAACATAAAGAGAACTTCCCTAACCTGGCAAAGGAAATAGACTTCCAGGAAGTCCAGGAAGTTCAGAGAGTCCCAAAGAAGTTGGATCCAAGGCACATCATAATCACATTACCCAAGATTAAAAAGGAGAGAATCTTAAAAACAGCAAGAGAAAAGGAAACAGTTACCTACAAAGAGTTCCCATAAGACTATCAACTGATTTCTCAAAAGAAACCTTGCAGGCAAAAGGGGCTGGAAAGAAGTATTTGAAGTCATGAAAGGCAAGGATCTACGTCCAAGATTACTCTATCCAGCAAAACTATCATTGAGAATGGAAGGGCAGGTAAAATTCTTACCAGATAAGTTCAAGTTAAAGGAGTTCATCATCACCAAACCCTTATTATATGAAATGTTAAAGGGACTTATCTAAGAAAATGAAGAAGACCAAAAATATGAATAGCAAAATGACAGCAAAGTCACAACTATCAACAATCAAACCTAAAAAGAACAAAAGCAAAAACAAAAATGCACTAAGCAAACAACTAGAATAGGAACAGATTCACAGAAATGTAGATCACATGGAGGGTTATCAGCCGTGGGCGTTAATAAGGTACAGGGAATAAGAAGCATAAAGGTAGGTACAAAATAGATTGGGGGCAGTTAACAATAGTATGGACAGTGGAGAAGTGAAAGAACTTATATGTATGACCCATAGACATGAACGAAGGTGGGAGAATGCAGGTGGGAGGGTACAGGGTAGAGGGGGATAAAAGGGATAAAAAAAAGGGACAACTCTGATAGCATAATCAATAAAAGATATATTAAAAAATAACATTTTTAAAAACCACCATATACTCAGCCTGATGTAGTAAGTAGCACAATGTAGATACTCAATAAATATTTAATAAACACATGGCTATTATAACTTTTACTAGTTGAGCAGTTTGACCAATATCACGTGGGTTAGTTATCTTAAAGACTTACTTTCTAAATGTGATGAAACAAGAAGTTTCCTGAAAATCTGCAAAAAAAAGTACATATGATATGTTACCTTTTACATGAGAAATAAGAGGAAATATATATGCATACATTTGCATAAAAGAACACAGGAAAACAAAACAATGAAGTTGATGTGAAGTGGATAAGGGAAACTGACATTTTTCTGAGTTCACATTTTTGGATACTTTTTTTTAAAAGATTCTATTTATTTATTTTTAGAGAGAGAAGGGAGGGAGAGAGAGAGAGAGAGAGAGAGAGAGAGAGATCAATGTGCAGTTGCTGGGAGTCATGGCCTGCAACCCAGGTATGTACCCTGACTGGAAATCGAACCTGCGACACTTTGGTTCGCAACCCACGCTCAATCCACTGAGCTATGCCAGCCAGGGCTAACATTTTTTTTTGGATAAATTTTACTTTTGGAAGCTTGGGTAATGTTTCACATATCAAGAAAAAATTAATAAGAGTGGGAGTTACTTAAACTACATGCAGGCATCACACACTAAACTGAAGGGTGGGGAGAGACCAAAACTTTTAAGTAGCTTGGAGATAGTACTTTGGCTTATAAACTCTCAGTCTAAGGGGATTTGATTGAATCTTAAAGTTTCATTAATTGTAACATGGGACTGAATTTCAGAAATGTTAAGCTGTGGCGAAAAATGGTATCTTAGAATCAATGAAATATGATATAATATCAGAAAATACAAATCAGAATTAAATTAACCCAGATTATTCAAGAGTATTAGAGTAAGCATCAAATGCTTTTCTAGGGTATCAGGCTAAGGGTACTTCTGAGTTTTATGACAATACATAAAGGTATATGTATATTAAGGGGTAAAGGCAACATTGTTTAATTAGCACAGAGTTTAATTGGATGATGAAAAACTGGAGATCACGGTGCTGAGGAGTCAAAATTTTGAATGTTTCTAATGCCATTGAATTGTAAGCTTAAAAGTGGTTAAAGTGGTAAATGTTATTTTTTACCAAAATAAGAAAAATAACCCAAGAAAGTACTGCACTGTGATTTTAGTAGAAAATCTACAGGAAATTATATAGTTCACTTACACATTTATATAAAATACATAATAAAATATTCATATACTCTTGGGGGCACAGGAGCCTTTTTAAAAAGCCTTAAAATTATTGGCAAAATTGGTGACAGTAGAACATACAGCCTGGAGAGCTACCAACCTTCCTTTCCCAGCTCCAACTGGGTGACCTTGGGCCAGTCTCTTACCTCTCTGCCTCAGTATCCTCATTTGATTAAGTGGAACAATATTAATAACACCTACTTCATAAGGTTGTAATGATGGGAATAAATGAGGTACTCAGAAAAGACCATTTTGAGCTTTCTAGGTTTAGCTGAAGTTCAGCCTCCTTGAAACCTTTACAATCTAGCCTCTTCGGAGACTGCAATGTCTATCACAGTCACACAGTCGCCCCTTCTCTTCAGTATAGTTTCATCGCCTTTTCATGATTTGCTCCTCATTTGGTTTGCTGCTATTTACAGGTAGCTTGCGAGCAGTTCTGCCAGTTTTGTTTCCCACCCTATGACCTATTTCTGTTTGATAAGAGTATTTATATAGCTTTTCCACAGACAATGGTCTTTCATACATTTGTCTTCTGCCACAAAGCATAACAAGACAAAAAAAAATCCTTAGAACGTTTTTTCCTCCACCCCAAGCAGCTTCGAGTTTTTGCACGGGCAGAATGTTCAAAATTCAGTTCAAGTCCACTGTCCTAAAGCTTTCTATAACTGTTGCCTAGGAGGAAAAAGGCAACTAACATATTTCTCCCAAACTGTACCATTGTAGGCACTTGTAAAATTTAATCTTCAGAATCTGAAAAAGTAGGCCTTACTGAGTCCGTTTAACAGAAGAGGACTCCAAGACTCGGGGAGATTTGGCGATTGCCAAAGGACACACCTAGGAAGTTGGCAAAGCCAAGGTTGGTAGGTACCCTTGCCGTCCCTTGGAGGATGTCGCCTCGCTCGTGGGTTCAGCGCCGTAGTACACGCCTCCAATAGTGGCAATCTGCTTGTTTGGCGTCTGCTCTTCAAGGAATCTGGCAGTTAGCGTTGCTTGATAAATATATGTTGAATGAACAACTAAGAAAATTACCTAAACTGCGGTAAACGCAGTGAAGGATACTGGAGCTGGAAGGGACACGGATTGATATAATGCAGAACAAACATATTATCTTGCTGTTGCTGAAAGGGGAGATTTGCCATGTTTCGGCCCCACAGCTAGTTAGTGGCAGAGGTGAGGCCAGAAGGAATTCATTTCTTTGCTCAAACACTGAATGCTTGCTGGAGAGTGGTAGATCTGGGGAGACAATGTCGCTGAGGAAGGCATGACCTTCACCGACCCCTCTCCAGAGCGCTGAAGAAGCACTGCTGGAGACTAAAGTGGGGACGAGGTTCCTAGAGAAAAGGATGTGAAATGAAGAAAGAAGCGAGAGAGCTGGGAAAGAATTAGAGAAGGGAAGAGGGAGGAAGCCGGGCGATCATGGGCCCTCTCGGACGGTTTCTCCGCCAAGACACACGGCGGCGCTGCACCCCTTCTGCGCCCTTCACCCCGGCGGCGCCGCCGGCTCGCCTTTTCCCGGCGGAAATGCCCAGGCGCTGACGGAAAGCCGGAGGGAGGGCAGAGAAAGACCGAGAGAGAAGGGGGAGGAAACTGGGAGAGGCCCGCAAGCGGGAGGTGGTGGAGGTGGGTGGCCGTCGTCCGGCCGGCAGGAGGTGCGCTGAGGCCCCGCGCCGCGCTCACCCCACCTCCCCACGCCCGGGGCGCGCGGCCCGGCGGGCGAGGCCGGCTCGGGGTTTCCCGGAGGCCGCGCGCCCGGAGCCGTCCGCCGGGCTAGGGCGGGGCGTGGGGCCCGCGGCCGCGCTCCGCGGCTCCGTCTTCTCCCGCGGGGAGCTGGCGGCGGCGGCCGGAGAGGGGAGCGGCGCCGGGGCGAGGGTGGGTGGGGGCGGGGAGGGGGGAGGGGGATCCGGCCGCCATGGACGACAAGGCATTCACCAAGGAGCTGGACCAGTGGGTCGAGCAGCTGAACGAGTGTAAACAGCTGAACGAGAATCAAGTGCGGACGCTGTGTGAAAAGGTGAGATAGCACAGGGGAGAGATGCGGGAGCGCGGGCTGTCCCCGCGCTCGGGGCTGGGGCTGGGGCTGGGGCGGGGGGAGCAGGCAGACACCGGCTATTCCAGGGCCCTGGTCCTTGAGCTGCTCTCTCGGGCTCCTGTGCCTCTTCTTCGGACACACCCCACGGCCCGGGTCTCGATACTGGCCTATAGGGTCCCTGAAGATGGGCTGGCGAGAGGTGGGAACGTGGCACCCGGGGTCCACGCCCTGGGATTGATTGGGGTCGCTGGTCCTCTTCTGGGGAGTGATTGACCCTCCAGCGTTTCACGAGTGAACTAGCGAGTCTCCCCGCTTTAGCCAATTCGTCTAATACAGTCTCTTACTAGAAAAGGCACCGAAAATTAACCTGGATGTTGTAAATATTAACGGACTTGTTACAAAACGGAGGGTTTTTCGCAGGTGAATCGGGCCCTCCAGAAATCCCTAACTTGGAGCGTGTCAAGCGTGCGTTCGTAGAGAGGTGGGTGTGATGGGAGACTGGGACTGCGATTTCTAAATAGAAGTTGACTCTTAGTTGAAACGGATGGTGATTGGTCTTCACAGTAAGAGAAAAAACGCTGGTTTTCGGAAAGAAGCCAGCAAGCCTTAAGTTTGGCAACAGTGCTGGCTTAAAATGATAAATAGGGTATGCGTTTTTCGTGTGGAGGAGCACTCTTCAGAAGGTTCTTTTCCATTTCTATTATATGTAATTTTTTTCTTGTTCCAAAGTAGCAAAATATGTAGGTGGTTAACTGTTTATTATTCTTGATTATGTGATCTTAGCCAACTTTCTGAAGTCTGGACCCATTGTCTTCTTAACCGCTGGCATTATTTTGGACTCTCTGTCTTACTTTAAAATGTGGAATTTTTTTCCCCATTCATCTTTTATAGTCTTGGACTAAATAATTTGTATATATTTTTAAGTAAAAATGTCCCATATGAAGGAGTAATGAGGTTGTTTATTCCTTAATACTGTTGGGTTGGTTTGTATTTTTAAGCCATAATCTGTAAGAATTGGTCGTTATGTTTGAAGTCAGGATGCCTCATAAATGCACTGGAGAACCAAAGATTTTTGTCGTTTTTAATAGGGCACTCTTAAAATTAAGCAACTGACTTAAGGATGGAGGAGTAACGGCTAATGTTAATGTAATGTTTTTAACAAGTGCCTTTATATTATAAAAACAAATAGTTATTAAAATTGGAGAAGTTATTTCTGTAAATAGAACTGCCAAGCAAGTGGTATTTTTTTCTAAACAAACTATTTACTTATAGCTTCAAGCAAACATTCGATTTTCTTGTGTGATAACCTGTAATTTCATGACTTAAAATTTACCTTTTAAATCCCTCTTGAGCTCTAGTATCAAGTGAAATATCCAGTTTTGAAATTAGCTGAATCAGTTAACCTCACCGTGAACATTATATATAGATTGGAAGTTATGAACAAGAGTGGGAATTGAATCTGTTTTCCTTTTGACTCCAATTTAAAGATGTATTCCTAGAGAAGACTACTGGTCCACTGCTCAGTCACACTTAAGTCTTAATCACTTAGGGAAGCTTTCTGTATTTGTCAGGAGAGATTATTTTTACTTTAGCTCCTAAGTAAATTGGACTACCAGTCCCTGGGACCTTATAGGTATATTTAAGCTTATACTTTTTTCTTTGAATATTTGTACTTTTGTACTGAACATGACTTTGTTTTTAGAGATTTTATTAATTATTTTTAGAGAAAGGGGAAGGGAGGGAGAAAGAGAGAGAAATACCACTATGTGGTTGCCTCTTGCATACCCCAACTGGGGACCTGGCCCACAACCCAGGTATATGCCCTGCCTGGGAATCGAACTGGCAACCCTTTGGTTCACAGGCTAGTGCTCAGTCCACTGAGCCACACCAGCCAGGGCTAAACATGACTTTTTAAGTGGAAATCCCTTTTCCTTTATCTTTGTTCTCCATCCATTTGATGGACTTGCCAGTGGGGTGGGGAAATACAATAGGATTCCTTCCTCTCTATCCTTCTGAGCAGTGCTTAATTTTGCAGCCCTCTTCTAGCAACTGTGATGTCCGTCTCCCAACCATAATGTAGTTCTATTTTGTATCTCTGCCCCGTCCTTCTCTTTCCTGACAAGTGCAGTGTTTATGGATTATGAACGCGAGCAGTCAGCCTGAGTTCAAACTCGCGCTCCACAGCTCGGTAGCTGCCAGTCTCCTTGGATGGTTGTGAATATTAAGATACTATCCATGTAGGGTCCTGACAAGAAGTAAGCACTCAATGAATATTAAATGAAAAAAAAAGTTATTCATCTTGTTTTAAACTTGTCACTCCATTTTCTATTAGAAAAAGATGCAAAATAAATAGATGGGTTGATGTGGCTTTTCTGGTGAATGTACTTCAAAAGGGTTTTTCTAGAGTGGCTAGAGAACCCTAAAAAATACTGTTTCAGTATTTCTTGTGGTCACTGTTATCTGAAGCATAAAGTACTGGGATTTATAGGAATTTTGTGAAGTAACTTATTGTTTAATTTTTTGTGACAGATTTTTAAGAGTTTTTTAACAAGATTTTTTTGAAGTCTATTGGAAATACTACTCTGTCGAGAGTTACTTTATATGATAGTTTTTTTTCCCTAAAAATTAAATTTTTATTCTAGCTCAAATTGTATAAAAACAGAAGGAAGCAGCTGAAATGAAGACCAAAGTGTACTGGTAAAAGCCCTTTTTTAAGGTACTAGTAAAATAATGCCAGTAGGAGAATAACTTTTTTTAAAAATGGGTACACATGGATACGGTACTTACGTCTGGTCTTCAAGGTTAATGTCTGTCTAGAGAAGATTTGCATAAATAGTAAAGGCATATTTTCTGGGAAGACTGGCTCTTAACATTAAATTAGTCCAGCTTTTGAAGCTAATTGTGAATTTGGCTCCTGTCATGTGTTGAGAGAGACTACTTCTGCAGTTTATTCCTGCGACCGCAGTTTGCACAGTAGCTTTAGAAGATGGTGTGCCTAGAGAGCCAGTCTGGCGCTGTTCAGGACGTTCTGTGACCAGAACTATATTTAACTCTTGGTAAGACGCTCTTTGACATGATAAACTTTTATTTTGAAGAACCTCTGTGGTGATACTCTAAGTAAAGAGGGAAACTTAGCTTGTTTGTATGTTAGCTGCTCTTTATTCAGATTATAAAGTTCCTACTTAGGAAAAATTTGAGGCTTGTACAGGAGTATAAATATGTAAATTTTATATTGGACTACTATAAATTTTATATCGGACTACTCAATCTGTGTCTGGGTCCTGGCCTCAGCCTTGTAATAAGCAAGAAATATCTTTAGGATATTACTTCATTAACATGAAATACCCAAAACCATCTTAATGAAAATTAGATCCTGATACAAATAAATGATTTTTGTGAGTTGAAAAAATCACTTGGAATACTTCTCTTTGATAGATTGTAGCTTAAAAAAAGTTGTTTAACAGTCCAAATTCTGTTACCATTTTACCTTCCCTTGGTATTTAGAATGCACAACATAAAAACGTTTGTGTGCCCTGGCTGGTGTGGCTCAGTGGTTTGAGGGCCAGCCTGTGAATTGAAGGGTCTCGAGTTTGATTCCCAGTCAGGGCACATGCCTGGGTTGTGGGCCAGGTCCCCTGTTGGAGGTGTGTGAGAGGCAACCATACATAGATTTTTTTCTCCCTCCCTTCCCCTCTCTCTAGAAGTAAATAAATTTAAAACAAACAAAACTTTTGTGTGCCTGGAGTTCCCAAGGCCATCCCCAGGTTTGGTGGTGATAAAGACCCACTCAACTTTTGGCCTAGAGTCAGACTCATGGCTGTGATTTGTAACAGTAAAAGGACACAAAGCAAAACCAGCAAAGAGAAAAGGCATGTGGGCCAAAGTCCTGAGCAAATTAAAGGCAAGCTTCCAAGAGTCCCCTCCCAGGGAGTCACAGAGTGCACCCAATGCCTGCAGCAGCACACCTGAAACGCTATCCACCAGGAAGGCTCAGCAGGGAGAGACTCAGTGCCCAAGACCAGGAGCTGGTCACTTAGTACATTCTGCCCAGCCTGCACCCAGACTGCACACTGTCAGAGAGAAAGCACGGGGGCAGCAGGGAGCACGCTGCTCCCATAAACAGTTTAGGCACAGTGAGCCATCCTCAACAGAGAATGGTAGAACCCCCCCCCCCCGCCCCCCAAACCAGGGTTTCAGATACCAGCCAAGGGCAACCTTGAAATGAGGCCTTTCTAAAGAGAGTGGTCTCAGGATTGCTGTGTACAGCTTGTGATTCTGTATGTAATTCTCATGAGTGTTTTTGAGTGTGATTTAGCACCCAAAGCTTAGTTCTCTCTAAGACATGGATAAGACCAAGTTTAAACGTGTAAGGTGAAGACTGCGGTGACAGTAAGTGTCACTGGGCAGAGACAGGCCAGGCAAATAGCTGTTGTACCCGCAGACACTGCCGCACACCTTCTTCATTCAAACTTGTTTCCTTCACCCGTTTAAGACACATTCCTGATGCTCTAAATCAAATCTATCTTAGGAAGAGAATTGAGAAAATGAAGATTTGGGAATGATATTCACATGTAATAGGATGAACAAAGTATTTTTACCTTCTGTCCATGTTTTAGGAAATGCAGAATAGGTAAATATATACTCAAGACTCCCCCGCCTCCCAACGGCTAGCAGTCTGTGTCTATTTCTGTGCTGCTGCCCACTGCCAGCCTCGTAGTAACAAAAAGCTACTGTATTTGGTTGTGGCAGAGGCAGCATACAAATTCTTTTCTTTTCCACCTCTAGTTAGCACATACCCATCTGTTATAAAAGATTATAGATTATTTCTTACATGCTAGGCAAATTAATCTAGGGAAGGCCACAGAACAAACTGATGTCTCAGACAGATGAGATTAAATGAAGTTAAAAATTCTCTAGGTTAATTTAAGGAGGTGCTTGACCTCCTTTAGTTAACAGCTTCTTCCACAAGTGACAGCTGACCT